TTAACGCTCGTTTACTCATTTTATTCTACTGCAGCAAACTGTGGACACAGAGTCTCACAGGAAGATTAAACAGAGCTGGCAGGTGCTTTATCTGTCTCACGACAGAGTAGACAAAGCGCTTTGGTGTCACTGCAGACAAACGCTTGGTCATGCATAGATCTGGAGGCCGAGGGGATGGCGAAACCACAGCTCATAAAGACATCAACCCACAAGCATTCATCAGATGTGATCAAGCGCAAAGTGGTTTATGCAGAAGCATCAAATGTGTGACTTGCACAGCAAGTGCGCTCTCGGAAGAGGCTCAGCAAAGACCTCCGTCTGTGTATAATATATACGCACTACACTGTATAAGCAGGTTTCCTCTCATTGGAATTTATTCTAATTATTAAACGTGAATTAAGAAGTGGCGGGCCAACTCGGCCCTGCAGGGCTGAAGAGTTACAGTGAAACGTGTGGTCTTGATTGCAGCGTTAACAGCTGTTACAGACAGCCAAGCATCCGTGATCTGAATCTGCACTTTCTGACTAAAGGGGTGTGAATTTAGATCAAACATGATTATGAGGTCATGAAAAAAAGGAAAGGTGGCAAACTGCTGAGCTCCAGTTTAATAATTTACTGTATAATAAGGCAAATGGTTGTTCTGTGCTGATGAGCTATTAACTGAGATGTGAACAGAATTACAAACAAAACCACCAAACGACGATGATCGCAATGCCAGGAGAAACTGCAGGTGTAACGACGCCAGAAATACACGGCAGCCGCTTCTCTACAGGAACAGCACAAAAAACCTTTCTGATGAGGAACTGATTTCATCGTACACAATATAGAGCCTCGTCTTCTACGAAGAAATGTGTGTGGATTTCTGCAGAATTTTGTTTTTCATGATGTGATGAGAGAGCTACAACACACACAGGGAACGCATTCAGCATCACGGTTACATCAACTGATCCTATGTGAGAAAATTCTGGCAGCAGTGATATTAAAACATTAAGTCAGCAAAACCTGCAGAGTTCTTCAGTTTTAGAGGCACAGTTCGTGTGTGTGTGTGTGTGTGTGTGTGTGTGCGTGCGCACTATGACACACCAGAGGATGAGTTCCTTTTTTTATTGGTTTAACTGTGGTTTCATCTTCTGTAGAAAGTAGAAACTTGCTTGTCACCAGGCAGGAAGCGACTGGGCATCTGTCTCAGATGCAGCAGTGGTTAAGAGGCATCTGGTTCCTTTTTCTAGCTGCCATTTTATTTTAACTCATGCAAGAAGTGGGCTTGGTTTTGTCAGTGGCTGCAGTGCATCCTGCAGAGTTTGTGCACCTCGAGAGACAAAATTTAAGTAGAAGAGATAAAGCTGCACTACGGGTGCATGCCATAGTCCTTTCTCACAGCAGACAGCGTGATGCGCTACAGCAGAAAAAAACTCTGATATTGCTATTAATATTAGTGGTTAGTGCCTTCTGCTTAAGTAATGGTTTACTGGAAAACCCCCACCCTCACATTTAAATAGAAAAGAGTCATACTTCAACCTTACTCACTGTATAACTAGCTAATAATTAATAATTTCAAAATTAAAAGTAAGAATAAAAAGATAGGAAAGACAGCCTTTTTGTTAAAGGGAAGGAAATTATTACATAAAAGTGATTTACATGGATATGAAAACAGGCCTGGGTTGAAATTTCTTCTCTTCCCTTGTTTGAAAACTCCTCGTATTTGACATTTCAGGCTCATCTCTACTCTGAATGTCTCTACATCTGCCTGTTCTGCCCTTTCTCTATATCTAGTACACTTCCAACGTGGCAGGTATACTGGTGCAGGCTGGATTAAAGGCAGTGACAAGTTTGACAGTATTTGGATGAATGTTTTCTTATATTTTACCAAAACACGAGTGACTGCTGCCTGTGCAGTACATACACGGGCATGTTTATTTGGTTAGCTTTGACATCAAGGCTTTTTCATGAAGTTTAACCATCATGAGTAAGTACCAAACGCCTTCACCTCAACGTCAAGCATAAGCCCAAACTCCTAAAAGTCTTAATCCTTAAAGAGACCTATGGAGAGGTGAGCCGGCCACAAAGCTCTACCTCATCAATTGACAGTCTCACGCTTAACGTGTTTTATTTAGTTCAAAATGGTTTCCTGCGACAGATTAATCCGACACTCAACATGCAAATGAGTAAACAAAAAAACTCCCCCCAAAAAACTGCAGCCCACAAGTTGCCCATTATGTACAACCCCATACTGACCAGACACATTTACACAAGCACATCCAGCAGCTGTGAGCTCTTTTCTGAATAGTAAAAAAAAACCTGGGTTACACTTGCTAAACTGAAAGTGCACCACATTAAAAACACTGTGCAAACTCCAGTAAGGGAACTGAGGGTGGGGCTGGAGAGCTCAGTGATCATAGGACCAGAGAAACAACACCCCTGTCATAAGGCTCTGTCACTGTGACCCACATAATCGAGTGGAGGACAAGTTTTAATTCAAGCTGTCCCAGCCCCAGCAACGCTCAGATTGGAGGTCAGCGAGTTCTGTCTATCGACGAGCTCTCCTGCCCTCTGCAAGCACCGCCGAGCCCTACGAGGGTCTGAGGGGAAACGAATCTCCTTTGGTGATACTTCAACGGTCATGTGCAAGTCTATATTTAGACATGCACAACATTGCGATTTATGATATTTGTGCTCTTCTTCGTATGACTAATAGAAGACGCTTGGTGATAAAAGGTCTGTTACAGTCTTTTGCTAAAAAAGTGCTTTCTCAGCAACTTTGTTGTGGTCTGACAAAACCACAAGTGTGAGGCCATTGTTTTAAAAACAGAACTATATGATTCACCTTCCTGTGAAACTTTGACCGATCAGCTGGCTGGGGTTTCTCTTGTGTTGCTCCAACATTTAAAAAAAACTGTTTGGTTTTATGGAAAAAACTTGTCAGATTATTAACATATAACATGTCAGACATTCATACATGATTTAAAGCAGTTCTTCATTGTTTAGGTTTTAATTCCCTCAAAATTATTTTGAAAGGTGAGTCCCTGCAAACCAGCTAACAATTGCCAATCGCGACCCCACCGGCAGGATGACCAAGTGGCATTTAGCTGCTTTCTTATTCAGTGACTCAAACCCCACATTCCTTCAGAAGATAGTTTTTGTTCTGCTCTGGAAATCCGCTGTGAGCTGTGGGTCGCTCTAACCAGAAACCAGAGCATTTGGAGAACCAGTTCACACGCTGATGTGCGGAGCTCACTGAGGCTGCAGGGCTGGGCGTAAAGTTCTTTTCATGAGAGGAACTGACATGAAAGTCAGCTGATTATTGCTGATATTTATTGTCACAAAGCGTATGCAGTACTACGACTTTGTCTTTTTGCATTTACAGATGCACATGTCAGAGCAATGGCAGAGAAATACAACTTAATTCTGTGGAAAATGCTGACAAAATCTGAACGCTTGTTCCTTCCAGAGAAGTTTTATTGAGTGTTACGCTGCAAAACAGGAACTTAAACTGATTCTTACAGAAGTGTAGTACATACCCGTCCGTCATGAGTGAGGAGGATGGAGTCGCTCTTTATGTCTCTATGGATCACACCCTGTGTGTGAAGGACAGACAACGCCTTCAGGACGGACAGACACACTGTGGCGATCTGCTCCTCATTCATCCTGCAGACGAATAGAGACACCAGTTTTTGTGATTCAGCTCACAGTCAGGAGTGAAAAGTTCTTGAGCTACAACAATACGCATCACACAGGGTGTCTACATGTAAACACAAGTGCAATTTAAGACTTCAAGACCTCTTTTAGTACAACCTTAAGAGATATTAAAGCCAAAACACAGTCAGTCAAGAAAACTGTGAAAATTAGCAAACAAATCATTGTTTACTTAAACAACATCACATTTTCTGACCTACAACAGTCAGCACAGCTTGTTAGCATTTTCACAAGCGGGCCTTAAACCCTATTCACTATTCTCTGGTCATATGTTAATAAATTTGAATGTTCCTACTTCTGTAAACTAACGAGCAAATTGGCTTCCTCTTCATCGTCATCATTTCTATCAGTGTACTGCAAGTCTCCAGGCCTAAAATAACCACCTGCCTGGGCAAGATTTCAGTGCCTTTGGTAAATAAGACCTAGAACAGTTTCATTAGCTCATGCAGCTTATCGGTCTTTTACTGTTAAACATTTCCGTATATAAAAACAGCAAGATGGGGCGGTGAAACTAGCACAACTAGCAAAACTAAATGTTTTCAGAGGGACAGAAATTATTTACGTGACATGACTAAAATATTCCCATCACACCAATCCAAATTTACTTTATGACATTTATAGGAAAAAAAGCTCCTATGTGTGTTTTAGACTTAAATGATTCAGTCTGCCAAACACTCTCACTCCTGTTGCGTGGAAAACAATGTAAAATGACACAGACATAGATGTAATGCAGTATGTTTCTGTGCTGAATAGATAGGAGACAGCGCCCCCTTATGGCGGAAATCATATCTGGTGAACAAACAGCTTAATAAGGGGCAGACTTAAATGGCTTAAAGCATATGAAAAAGGAATAGAATGGGTACAATGACTAAAGTATTTTGGTTTCTTTCAACTAGCAAACATTGCAAAAAACCCAAATCTATACAGTAAAAAATTTGGAACTAATTTTCTCCTCCTTAAATTCCAGCATTCAGTCCTCATTAGCTTGACCACTGGAGCTAAGCTAACAGAAACTGACATCACCTTTTTTCTTGCTTTACTTCACCGCCTTACAGCTAAAGTTTGTATTCATTTTGAGACTTTATTAAATCACTAATAAACCCTTGAACAGCCTCGCTACTGGTCATACAGCAAACATGGAGATCAACATGTGCACACATGCTTGCATCAGTGCCAGATACTTACATAGGCTCTATGTTTATTCACTGCATACGCATAAATTAAGGTTTAGTGTGTGTATATATTGGTAACTAATATCACTATTGCAGCTGGGAGAACTCAGTAAACCCTGAAATGGCTCAGTGATTAAGAAAATGAATAGACATTTTTACTCTTATTATTGTTATTATTAAAGCCATTTAATACTGCGAGGTGCTGCATAAATGACTGATGTATAAAGTTTCTCTCTCACCTTGTGTGTGTCACGATGTCAGTGAGCGCTCCTCCTTCCATGAACTCCATGACGACCCAGAGCTCATCTCCCACCAGGTAACTGTTATACATCTCCACCACGTTCTCATGGTGATAGTCCCGCATGATCACCACCTGCAGTTACCACACAGAGAGGAAGGATCATCACATTACTTTGATCGCACTGAAGCCCTGCCTCGTCACTCACGAAGGGAGTCCAGCGTTTAAAATCCAAGCCGGAAATCTGCAACTGAGGTGAAGACGAGATGGAGCGTGAAACCCACAACGCTTCAGGCGGCAGCGCAGGCTCGTGAGACGTGTCTAAAGGCGACTTCTTACTTACTGTATTGGTTTTATCTTGACTCGAGTGTGGGGAGAGATTTCACGCATTTCCTACCACTCTGATGTATTAACATAAAAATCTATGTTGAAAGCATCAAATATTATTTTTAGATTTGAGACTATTAAAAAAAACAGAAAGATCTCGTCTCCTCTTTGGTTCAGCCAGCTTTCTGAATGCCTCTGAAATACAAA